GCGATGGCAATGGAGGATTTGTTGTCGTAGAAGACGGTTGCTGCTTTGGTGGTGTGGGTGTGCAAGTCACGGAGGAGAGAGTTAATCCATATGACTTCACACACAGTGGCAGCCAGAGCTCTGTACTGTGCTTCGGATGAAGAGCGGGAGACTGTGGGCTGCTTCTTCGATCGCCAGGATATAAGAGAGGATCCAAGGAAGACGCAAAATCCTGTGATAGATCTATGTGTTTCCAAACATGTTGCCCAGTCAGAGTCACAAAAAACATTGAGCTGCATGTTAGTGTTTCTAGGATAGAATAATCCTTGCCCGGGATCTTTTTTGATATATCTGAGAACCTGATGAGCTGCCATCATGTGCTTGTCTGTTGGAGCATCGATATATTGGCTCAACTGTTGTACTGCGTAGGCAATGTCAGGACGCGTCGCAGTGAGGTATAATAACCTTCCAATCAATCGTCTGAAGCTGCTAATGTCAGGAAGGATTGTGCCATCTTCTTTGTTTAGAGCATGTCCTGGAAACATGGGAGTGCTGACCGGTTTGCAGGTGATGAATCCGAACTCCTTCAATATGTCAAGGGCATATTTGCGTTGACAAATGTTAATCCCGGAATCATCCATGTGTGCCTCTATTCCCAGAAAGAACCCCAGGTTCCCCAGATCTTTGATACTGAAGGTGGAGTCCAGAAACTTCTTCAATTCTTGAATCTGATGTATGCTGGGGCTGGTGACTAATATGTCATCAACATACACTAGTGTAGCAATAAAATCCTCATCCTTGCCTTTTGTGAATAGCGACGGGTCTGATTTAGACTGTACAAAGCCTTTGTTAATCAATGCTTGACTCAATTTTGCATTCCATTGGCGGCTGGCCTGTTTGAGGCCGTATAGAGATCTTAGGAGCTTGCAAACTTGTCCATCCTTATTCCCTTGGAAGCCTAGTGGTAAAGCCATATACACCTCTTCATCCAAATCACCATGTAAGAAGGCGTTGTTTATATCGAGTTGATGAACATGCCAAGATTTGGAGGCAGCCACAGCAAGAAAGACACTTATGGTGGTAATTCTGGCAACGGGAGAAAATGTCTCGATATAATCGATGCCAAGTTTTTGATTGTAGCCCTTGGCTACTAATCGAGCTTTGTATCTTTCAACAGAACCGTTAGCTTTGAGCTTCACCTTAAAAACCCACTTGCAGCCGATTGGTGTTTTTCCTGGTGGTAGATCAATTAATTCCCAAGTGTTATTATCTTGTAATGCCTTAATCTCGGCTGCCATGGCGTTTCTCCAACATTCGTGTTTCATGGCTTGATTATAAGTTCTTGGTTCCTCAATGTTGTTAACAGCCATGGAAAATATCCTGTGAGGAAAAGAGAGATTATCATATGATAGTACTCTATCCAAGGTGTGAGGGGATGAACCTTCTTGAGTGACAGAGTCACAATAGTAGTCTTGCAGCCGGCTAGGCAGTCGACGATCCCTCTCTGATCGTCTAGGAAGGATGGCAGGAATGGTGTCGTTGGTAGCAGATTGTGTGTCTTGTTGATCATTGTGGCTTTGATCAGTGTTGGTGTCCACCATTAAACTATCTCTGTCCTCTGCTGAATGCAAGCCTCTAGATTCATTAAGAGGGCTACTGCTTTGTTGTCTGGCAATAGGTTGTGGTTCATCAATGTGATGACTGGCTTCAAGTGGTGGCTGCACATCCAAGGAAATAGGGATATTAAGCAGGGGTGGATCATAGTGTGACATCTTGTGGTGAGGTGCCGTTTCTGCAAATAGAGGAAACTGCTTCTCGTAAAACTTCATGTCTCTTGATATAAACATGGTGCCATCCTTTATGTCATATAATATATAACCCTTAGTGCCTGCTGGGAATCCAAGGAACAAGCACTTTCTTCCTCTTGGATCAATCTTGTTTCTTGCATGGGGTAGGGTGGCCGCATAACATAAGCAGCCGAAGACCTTGAAGCCGGTGATGTCTGGCATATGTCCAAATAGCTTCTGAAAGGGGCTGTTCCATCCAAGGACCGGAGATGGAAGCCTATTCATCAAGAACACGGCATGCAACACGCAGTGCCCCCAGAACTCTAAGGGGAGGTGAACTTGGAATCGGAGGGAACGAGCAACACTGAGAATATGTTGGTGTTACCTCTCCACTATAGCATTTTGCTAAGGTGTGTTCACGCATGACTTTTGGTGGATGATTCCATTTTCTGAGAGGAACTCTTCCATCTTGAATTCGGTTCCATTATCACTACGTAATATTTTGATTAGCCTGCCAAACTGGGTAAAAACATAAGCATGAAACTTCTTCAAAAAATGTCTCGTTTCAGACTTTGCTTTCATCATATGCAGCCACGTATATCTTGAGAAATCATCTACAACAGTTAGAAAGTAGTAATCTCCGTTTAAGGAACAAACGGGAAAGGGTCCCCATATATCAACGTGTATTAAATCGAAGGAAGCTTTTGAACATGATACACTCAGAGGAAAGGGGGAACGCTTATGTTTAGCCATATGGCATACATCACATGCTAAACTAGTACTATGATTGATATCAATGTTGCTAAAAAGGTGGAGCTTATTGACTGGGAAATGCCCCAACCTTTGGTGCCATATATCAGAGTCGGCTTGCTGCACAGCAGAGACTTTAGCTGGTGGTCTTGTGGTCTCCAAGAAGTATAAACCCCTATCTTCTTTAGCTATACCAGCTATCGTGCCAAGACTCTCCTGGATCAAGCACTGCCTATGCAGAAAAATTAGTTTATAGGATGAGTCTTGAATCAATTTGCTTATAGAGATGATATTAAATTGAAATGTAGGGATGTGTAGGGCATTTCTTAGCCTCAGATTGTGACTGAGCTTCACGTCTCCTATATTCTCAACAGCTATCCGTTGTCCTGTAGCCAAGTCCACTTCTGCACCATTTGCCTTTTGATAATTGACAAGGAGATCCAAAGAGCATACAATGTGATTGGTAGCTCCTGAATCAAGGATCCATGTGGACGAACATAAAGCAATTAACAAGTGTTATAGGGGACTTGCCTTCCTCAATTGAAGAGTTCTCATCGAACTTAGGTGTCAAAGACACTGCAGCTGCTGTGTTGGAAGCACCAGCTTGTTGGCTTGGCTGGAGGATAGATAATATCTTCTGAAGCTGCTCAGAGGTTGGTCCCAGATTCTTAGTATCATTCGTCACTGCTGCATTCATATTAGATTGTTTCTTGCCTTTGGATTTGAATCCTGAATCCAACCGGGAGGATACCCGTGTTTCTTATAACACTTATCCACGGTGTGACCTGACATCCCACAGTATGTACATTTTGCCTTCATCATGTTGTTTCGTTTTCCATTATGGTTATTGAAAGCTGCTACAATTTCATCATTATTATTCCCAGTGGCAGTGTTCTGTACAGCATTAGAGTGAACCACATCCAGACTTCCTAGATTCAGGTTATTGAGGTTGATATGCCTTTCTAATTTCTCAGCCATCACAAAAATTTTGTAGACCTCCGGAAGAGGATCTAACACAAGTACATTCGACTTCAAGTTACTGTAGTCTTCATTCAGTCCCTTTAAGAAACGTATTACCTGATCCGTTTCCCTTTCTTTTCTGATTTCATCAACAAGGCCACATGCGCATCGAGGATTGCATTTACAGATGGGGAGAGGTCTGAGAGTGTTCATTTGTTCCCACAGAGTGCGACTTTTGGTGTAATATTCATTGATTGAAAGAGAGCCTTGCTTCAGTCCATAGATCTCATCTTGCAGAAGAGAAATTCGCTGTGCATCTTGCTGGGAGAACCGTCTATTGAGATCATCCCAAATGTCCTTGGCTTTGTCTATGTGCATCACGGACTGAGCTATGGACGGATCTACAGACTTGAATAGCCAGGAGCACACAATAAGGTTGCACCGTCTCCATGTATTATACTGCGGCTGATCTCTGCTTGGCGGTGCGATACTCCCGTCTATCAGACTCCATTTATTTTTTACCTCAAGAGCTATGCGCATAGATATACATCAGGTATTATAATTCGAACTTCCAGTTAACGGAGGACTCACCAAGATTGTGCAAGGATTATCATTGACTCCAATGAACAGAGGATTCTCCTCTGAGTCTCGATTTCTTTGCCGCTGAAGGTTCCGCTGTGGATTTCCTTCCGGTGTTCCTTGGATCGGAGTCTGATTGATCGGCGTGACTGGAGTTTGGTTGATCGGAGTGCCGCTCTGCATTCCTTGACTGGTGTTGCCGGCGCCTGAAGTGACAGCTGTGTAGGAGCGATAGAGCTCTGATACCATGTCAGCTGAGTGCTATCTGCACGATGGAAGGAAAAGAAGCTGGAACTGATCTCATTGAATGAAAGAAATGTTTGTTACAACTTCAGGAAGAAGAAGACTTCGAACTTATATACAAGGAGGGAAAGTGAGACGGTTATAACAAACTTCTAAACAAGCTGATTTACAATAGTGCCCCTATGCTTATTGACTTGTTGACCGTCTTCTTTAGTAGCTTCTGATAAATTGTTCAGACTTTGTTCGTTTATAAATCGAGCTCTAAATTTTGTTTGTTAATGTTAGTTTACCTTAATAAACAAACGCTTACCGAACACAAACACGAGTTATTTGCCGAAAGCTCTGTTCGCTAACACCCCTTATTTGAGCTTAAAACTTGAGCTCAAGCTCGAGACCAAATACTCGAGCTCAAGTTTGATTGCTTGATTCTAATTCGAGCCAATCGAGTCGAGCTCGAGCTTTAAAAAATTAACGAATCAAACTCGAGATCACATTTTAAAGTTTAATGGAGCTCAAACTCGAACTCAAAATAATATAAATTTTTCAAACTTGAAGTCGAGCCTATTCAAATTCGAGATCGATTCGATTCATTTACACCCTTAGTGACATCTTTTAGGCCAATTTATTTATTTATTTATTGAAGACTCTTTTAGGCTGATTAAATCTCCTTTATTGCCAGAAAGAAATGGAACAACTCCTCATGCACAACGTACAATCCCCCAAAGTTTCCCTTTTAACCATTGAAATGTCGATAATTACGAACACGACCCTCAATGTGGCGAAACCGAAACCCTAAATCTAATTTTCTTCAATCCCCCGTCTCCTCCGGTCTTCTCCCCCAATCTCCATCTTCAAACACAGTCAAATTGTAGAGTCATCTCTTTCTCGCGGTGGATGATTTCAGTGGCCGAGCATGGCGGCAGAGAGTTCTTCATCGGCGCCTAGATCTGGTGCATCGCCCGATTCCTACATTGGCAGTCTGATTAGCTTGACGTCGAAGAGCGAGATCAGATACGAAGGTGTTCTGTACAACATCAACACCGATGAGTCCAGTATCGGCCTACGCAACGGTGAATTTCTCTCCCGAATTAAACTCATTTGATTCTTTAAATATTTGTTTTTTTTAGTATGATTAAATTATGAAAATTTCCTGTGAGTTTGTTTATATGCCTTTTCTGTGTTTTATTAACATCTAAACCTTTGTGCTTTGTACCTTTCAGATAAAAAAAAGTAAAAATTATTTAGCGTTTTTTTATTTTTTTTTGGAAGAAATGGTAGGAATCCAAAGAAATTTATGCAATGGGTTTGTTATGTGTAAACTTTTACCTGACTTAGGTATGTCAGAACAAGTTTTCGTAAGTTTATCACTGTAAACGTATCCAATAGTAGGAGGTAATTGGCACTTCACGGAGTAGATACTGGTGTATACTGTTGTTACCCCCATCTGCTATAAGCATATACCATTGAGCTTGACCTTAGGTTGCCTTCTTTTGGTTGTAAAATTGTTAGTCCTTTTCCTATACCTAACATTTGGATGATAGATTAGTTCTGTGCTGCTGCACCTGAAAATCTTGATAATATAGTCTGAGACTGCATTATGTTCATATTATTTTAAAGTCTTAAGCAATGTGGGAATGATGCCATATAGATTATAGGTGCACATATTGCATGCCCATACAAATTGCTGATTTTTTTTCTATCTAATCAGGAATAGTATATTATGATTGAACAACAGAATGATTATTGTTGTGGGCTGAGTCTTCATTCACAATATTTTCAAAAATTAAATTGTGTTAGTATTCGTATAAGCTCATTGTTGTGCTCATTTTGTCATGACAGTTAGATCATTTGGAACAGAAGGGAGGAAAAAAGATGGTCCTCAAGTTCTTGCAAGTGACAAAGTTTATGAATATATACTATTTCGGGGAAGTGATATCAAGGTGGCCTTCTTGTTTGATTTCAATATTTAGAGTGTTATGCTGCTTTTACTTGTCTTGACTGCACTGATATGCTTTTGTTGATTTGATGCATTCATGCCTAAATGGGTGGGACTTGGGGGGGGGGGGGGTGTTAAACTTTTGATCTTCATTTAAACAATGTGTTTGAGATAGGAAGCAATGATTGATAGAAAATATTCGCATTACCAATTTTCCTTGGGCTTGGAGTTGAAAATATAAAACCCCAAGCAAGGCTGCAATGGTGTGTCATTATTTCTTCAGTGATCTAATCTCTGTTTTCTTTCCTTTTTACTGAACTCTGAAGTGACCAAATTGGCTCCTATTTGTCATAAGTTAATAAAATGTTATCCACTGCATTCAACATTCTTAGCAAGACATGGTTTGGGTGGGGAGTTGCTTATGCTGAGAAGATGTTATGACATGAATTTTAGATGTGTAAAAAAGGAGTTAAACCAGCTCCAACTGTGGATTGGATACTGTTTGCTTGTATCTGTTTGCTCAGTCAATAGTCATTACACAGGAATTTTAAATTTATTGCTAGTGTTGTTTATTTTGAGTTTATAATTGCCTTGGTGTTTATCATTATTATTTTTGTATCAAAAGCTGAACTCAACTAAAGCTTGAAAAGTACTCTTTTGCAGGATTTACAAGTGAAGGCTTCTCCGCCTGTTCAGAGTACACCGCAAATAAACAATGATCCAGCTATTATTCAGGCAAGTAATGATAAAGATCTAATATATTTAATTAGGTCTGTTCTAACAGAATTCATTTTCTTTCTGCAGTCTCATTATCCTCGTCCACCTACCACATCTTCAAGCTTGCTTCCAGTTTCCAGTGCTCCGGTGGTGGATCCTAATTCTCATTCATCACAACTGGGACATCCTGGACCAGCATCTCAAGGTGCTCTACCTTTGTATCAACCTGGAGGGAATTTAGGCTCTTGGGGGCCATCACATCCACCCCAAAATGCAAGTGGTAGTGGACTTGCTATGCCAATGTATTGGCCGGGGTTTTATGGTACCCCAAATGGTCTACCCCAATTGCCCCAACAGTCACTGCTTCGTCCCCCACCTGGACTGTCGATGCCTCCTTCCATGCCACAGATGCAGTATTCTCCTTTCAACTCATCTATGCCAACTGGAGGATTGAGTCTACCAGGGTCAAACTTGCCTGAATACCCTCCTCCATTGATTCCAAACACTGCTAGTCTAACCTCATCTTCTTTACCTGCTTCATCTTTACCCTCAAGTGCGCAACCACCCCAACCTACACCAGCATTGCCTTCAAGTGCACTACCTCTCCAACCTGCACCAGCCTTGCCTTCAAATGTGCTGCCCCTCCAACCTGCTCCAGCTTTGCCTTCAAGTGTCCTGCCGCTGCAACATTTGGCACCTAGTTCTGAAACAGTATCCAGTAATTTGTCAAACAAGACTTCACTGACTGCTGTCTCCACGGCAACATTTAGTTCCACTTTGCCAGCATTACCTCCTACTACTACAAACCCTGGTGCAACTGCTGTTGTACCTCATATCACTAATATACCGAATCCTTTACCAGGTCCGTCTCAATCTAAAATTGCTGTTGGAGCATTGAATACTGGTCCAGTGGAGACATCCACACCTTCATTATTAACTCCAGGGCATCTACTGCAATCTGGACCTGCTACTGTCTTACCAACTCAATCAGTACAGACAGTTCAGAAGGATGTTGAGGTGGTTCAAGTGTCACCATCACAGTCATCAGAACAGTCAGCAACTGTTAAATCAGAAACTCAGCCACCAATATTGCCAACACCTCAACAAACTTATGCACAAAGGGTATTCCTCTGTAATATTTTATTTTTATGTATAGTTTTCCTTTACTTATGCATTTTTTAATTTATAACATGACACTGAAACCCTGGTTGTCAAGAGCCTTTTAGAACTATTATTAACTTTGCAATGTCAAATGTCTTGTTATACTTTATGCTGTAAATTTGTCGTTGCAGTCTGGTTTAGAGGTGAGTCATTTCGTGTTCTAAACATTTTCCAATATTATCAGAAACAATCATTAAAATTTGTGATAATTTAATACAGGCATACTTGTTGCTTTCTGTCTCCGTTTAATTTGTATGCAAATGGAATTAATTTTTATGTTTTCCTGTTTTATCGCCAGCCAAATGGAGCTCCATTTCAGATGCGCCACAACAACTACAGAGGGCGTGGAGGAAGAGGAACTGGGGTAATTATATTGTCTCTATCAAAGCTATGAATCTTATAGCAAATAGTAATGTGAAGTGATGCCTTCCCTATGTCTTATTCTTTTGGTTGCAAGTGGGCCATTTTTGTTAATCTCAATTATGGAGATCATTGTATGTCTTTTATGATAAGTTATATTCCTCTTCTTTTCTATATAGATTTCTAGACCAGTGACAAATTTTACGGAGGAGTTTGATTTTATGGCAATGAATGAGAAATTTAACAAAGATGAAGTTTGGGGTCATCTTGGCAAGAGTTCTAAGTCTGATTCAAGGGACAAAGAAGGGAATGTAAATGGCAATGATGAAAATAATTATTACGAACAAGAAGATGCTGGCCATCCTAGGGTTGAGGTCAAGGTGGTCACTCCTTCCATTGTGTTATCTCATTTCTAATGTGCACTATGGTCTTTGTTGCTAGTGCCATACCTCACTGTCAAAATATCTTAACTGAACTATTGATTTGCAGCCAATTTATAACAAGGATGACTTTTTTGATTCCTTGTCTTCTAATGCATTGGATAATCAATCAAATCAAGTAAGGCCAAGGTTTTCCGAGCAGAGGAAGATTGATGCCGAGGTACATGCAGCAGTGCATTCATCTACAGCTTCTCTGACTTTTTAATAACGAGGTTAATATAATTTCTAACTTTTCAGACATTTGGAGGAGAGTACACAAGATATAGGGGTGGTCGTGGCCGTGGCCCTGGTCCTTATCGTGGTGGCCGATCTCGAGGTTATTATGGAGGATATGGCGGAAGAGGATATGGCTATGGTGGTAGAGGCCGTGGTCGTGGCTCTTCCGACTAGAGTGCGTATATGTGGTATATTTGCATAAGTTTGTACGAGAGCATTGTGCGTGGTAAAAAAGTTTGGCTTAAAGCAAAAGTTGTGTTCTTCTCCCTTGAGGATTGGCAATGTTTAGAGTATTTCCATTGTTGTTTTTGCATTTTAGTTTTTCTGTAATCTGAGGAATAAAACTAGGTTGTAGGGAGGATGGTTGGGATCCGTGGTTCCATATTTTCGTTTCTCTTCTTTCCCTCAATGAAGCTTTCATCAAGCGATTGGTCATATCATATGACTCATTTATTGTCCTAGAGGCATACGCCCATACCAACCTCTGATCAAGTCAATTAGATATTCAGATCAATATCAAATATTTAATCATACATTAGTATTATATTCAACATTTTAATATCAAATATTTCTATAATTATACGTAGGAGTTAATTTCACTTTTCGTCTTATGATTGTTGGGGTGTTGTTAATTTCATTTCATAAGTTTCAAAATTGTCAATTTAGTACTGCAATTATTCAATTTTTCTCATTTTTAATTAATCTGGAGATGATCTTTTCAATTTCACTTTTGGTTTTATGATTATTTAACATCATGTATACAAAGATTGATGATCTTTTCCATTGCTTCTGCTTTGTCTTGCTCTCTACGATCACCTTCTCAACCTGAGATTTGTGCAGCCTCAACTTGATGGTCCCCATTCCGTTTTCACCGCTGGTGACACATCGGAAGTGAGAAAACTTCGGCACTCTTTTCGTCGTGAAAGTCAGACCTTATTCGTTTCGACAATCTTTTGTCGTGAGGAAACTTCGACAATTCTAAAAAAACGTAAATTTTTTTCGGCTTCAGTTCTTGCTCCGCCTCCAATTGCGTCGCCCTTACCCCAAAACCTCTTCACTATTTCTAAGTCCAACAAGACATACCCATGATAATCCTTAACAATATTGAACGCTGACATTGACAGTTCTACTCCGACAGAAGAGGAGAAAAAAAATTTCTGGTGTAGAAGAGAAGAAACGAAGAATAAAAGAGGAGGACCAAATGACTAAATTGCCCTCAAGATTTTATCCATTAAAATTTTTCAACCACTTTTCGCCAGCAATTTTGCCGGATGGACTGAAATTGATAAAAATTAAATAATTACGACACTAAATTGATAGTTTTGAAACTTTTGGACTAAAATTAACAACACCCTATAGTTATATGATCAAAAGTACGTGAAATTAACTCTTATACCTAATTATATGAACATGCGAAAAAATCTATCTGGTAAAGAACCATAAAGAGATAAACTAGTTTAAGTTATTCATAGTTTATTGGCCTTGGTAAACAAGGTTCTCCCATTCAGAGAAGAACTTGAATTATATTTTTTTTTTGTTTTTTTTTTTAATTAATTAATTAATTAATTTATTTATTTTTTTTGAGAAATGAACTTGAATTTTTTTAGTTATCAAATTAACAACTTGACTAATTTGGAGGGAAAAGAGTCAAATAAGTTCCTAAATTTTACTCAAAAAGTCAGTTAGGCTTTAAACTTTTAATGTTGCAATTATATTCACAAACATGTTATTTTGAAGCATTGAAACCCAATAATGTTCATAGGTTTCTAGGTTCCCCATGATTGATCAAGTTTGAGTTCATCAATCTTGTGAGATTTCTTTATGGCTTTGACATTAATTTGAAACCTTTGAGGTAGGGAGAACTTAGCACTTTTTTTACTAGTCTTTTTTCACTGAATGATTCTCCTAGGCTAACTGATTCATTTATCAGTCCCTTCAAGTGAGCATTAAAGTTGGAGACTTTCTCATACTCATATATTCATCCTTAGTTTCTCAAATCAGGACTCGATCAATTGCAGTTTCGAGATGTTGACATCATCTGTCCCTTCATACGTGACTTCCAAAATATCCCAGGCTTGTTTGGCAATTGTGCAGTCAGAAATTAGAGGAAACTAACTGGTCTCAATTCCATTAAAAATAGCATTCATGGCACGACTATTGAAGTTTGCGAAAGCTCTTTCATCCCCAGTCAGCTCTTTTCAAGTCTTCTTTTGACTTTTACCATTCTTAGTGATCATTGGCGTCTCATAATCGTCTTCAACTACGTCATAACAATTCTCATCTTGTGCTTTGATGGATACCTCCATCCTCTTTTTCCAAAAACACATAGTTCAATCGACCTTGAAGTTTCGGAGGCTGTAAGATCGAGCTACTTTTGACAAGATCACCAATTTTTTTTATCCTAGAAAAGAAAACACACCAAGTATCCCACGGATCTCGCTAGCAAGTTAAACGACACATGCTCTGATACCAATTGAAATATATACTCCGTGCATAAAAACTACAGATTAACTTATTCAGACTGGATTAATGAGGCTGGAGCCCTGTTATCAATTTCTTAGATATGCAGATATGCAAAAGGCAAAATTAAAATGCAGGATGACACCAAGATTTAATGGGGTTGAATCCACAGGGCATTAGCCCAAATCAAGATCAATTTACTAAACATATTTAAGTACAAAGACATACAGAAATTTACACAATACGATCACCTCCCCGACATATATTGACACTGTTCGAAAGTACTGCTAGAAATTGATAATCAAGAGACCCTCGTAATGTAGAATCCCTTCTGCCTTGAAATAGTTGCAAAACCAGTTGTCTCAGACTCTTGTATGATCAATGCATGTAAATCAAAACCTCAAGGACGAACCGTCGTCCAATTGATGAAGTACATCCCTTGAGTCACCTTTCTGCAACAGTACCATATGTATTCTATGTATATGCTCCGCACCTCTCTTCGGCACATATCATTGATATTTATATCACTAAAATAAAAACCTAATGCATACATGGTATCTTCTTTCCCTATACAATATTAGGATACCTAACATCAGGAAGGAAAAAACGTACTACACAAAGAATTAAGGAAAAATATACAAATTATTCGAGACAACCTAAATATTTTGACAATAATTCCAGCCAATAAGAAATTAACATGTTGGCACAACATGACCCACATTTTAATGGGGCTGAGATAGCAACGCTCACATTAGTGCCAACCCATGTGATTTTGGGCTGGACCAACACGAAATAATTTATTTGACGTCACTACTCTATTATAGTATTTAAAATTTTAAATGTTGACATGATAATTATTATGACATGACAATAGTGATGTTATTGCTACCTAAGTGGATTTAATGGATAATCTCTAATCCAAAACACCAAATTTCAGACCAAAAGTAATATTTCTTACACAATTTTATTTTCTTCCAATCTTTTTACACCAAATTTGCCAAGGACTTTGTAGTCTAATGGAACCAAATTGCTCCCTTGTAAGGGAGGTTAATTGTGGGATCAAGCCTCAGTCGGGGCTATATTGGCTCTTTGTACTAATTCGTATTCTCATCATTTAAAACTATTTTTTTATACTTTAGTTTCGAATGTACTAATTTTATTTTGTTGAAATTATGTTTTGTATATTTTAATTTTTATTTAATTTATATTTAATATTAGTCTTTTTTAATCATTTTGATGAGATATTTGAAAACCTATAATTTGTTTCTAATAATAAAAATTTAAGATTTAAGTATTTAAGTATTTAACAAATTATGTAAATATATAAAAACAAAATAGGGCATATACAAGAGATTTAAAAAGTTAATGAAGGTAAAAAAAAGTTTATATAAACAAAAAAGTGGAGAGAGAAATTTGACACAAAATTAGTGTAATGATGTGTTCATTGGAAATGACCTAATATTGTTAGGAGTTAATTCCAGTAATTGTTCCGACTATTGCGATTTTTCAATATTGGTCATTGTCTTTTAATTTAGATAAAATAGATCCTTAACTATCAAATTTGTTCCAACAATGATTCTTCTGTTAAATATCAGTTTGGTTGGCGTTAAGTAGAGGGGTATTGAAATCATTTCCTTTATTGCTTTTTTCTTCCCCGTGAGTATATGTATTCAGAGATTCCAGACCACCCGTCAGCTGTACAAACCTGGTTCAATTCATTGTTTGACATCAAAAGATTTAAACACTATGTAGATGGCAATAAGAGAATAAACAAGGACAACATGATGTCATATGGCAGTAATGGAAGCTATCTATGAGTTGAGATTTGCATAACCAAAGCTTGTGGCTTTAAAACCATGGGTTAATACCTTTTGCAAATGGCAAGTCCAAGACCTGCAGCTCCGTTGTTGCTTCGATTTGATGCACTTTGAGCCTCTGTAAACTTGGTGAAGATGAGTGGAATATCTTCGGGACTAATACCACACCCTGAATTTTTGACCTTCCTGAACTTAACGTCAATCAAACTGATGCTCAACGGAAGGACTATTGCTGGAACAAATCTAATAATCAAGGGTTTATTTCGTCCAAATTAAAAGACGATGACTGATTTTGGAAAATCGCAATAGTCGGAGGACCATTGCTGAAATTAAGTATATAATTAGTTGTTATGCTTGATTTTCTTAATTTTTAAAATATAAAGACTAAATTAACAAAATTGAGTAGATAGATTAAATTAAACAAAACGATACATATTGTACAGAGATCTCCTAAATACTTTAACAGGTAACATCCTACTCATGCTGATGAGGAATATTATCTGATAGATTCAATAGAACTGAAACACAAGAGATAAATAACAGTAGTAGTAGAGTCCTAGTAGAGTACTACAATCATATTCCTAACACTCCCCCTCAAGCACAAGGGTGGCAGGAACAACATTGAGCTTGCCACGTAAGAAATTGAATCGCGGCCCGGCCAGCGCCTTAGTGAAAATATCAGCCAACTGGTCCTTCGTAGAGATAAAGTTGACCTGCAGCTCCTTTTTGGCAACCTTGTCACGAACAAAGTGGTAATCGATCTCCACGTGCTTGGTCCGTGCATGGAACACCGGGTTTGCACACAGGTACGTAGCACCCAAGTTGTACTGTCACACCACAACTTCGAAGAGGAGGACGGTGGTATACCAAGTTCCTTCAAGAGAGACACCAACAAAGTGACCTTAGCAGAGACATTCGCAAGGGCCTTATACTCAGCTTCAGTGGAGGAACGAGCCACGGTGCGTTGTTTCCGACACGCCCAAGACACAAGATTGCTGCCCAGAAAAACAGCGAACCCACTCGTCGACTTGCGATCCTCCGGATCACCGGCCCAATCCGAATCAGAAAAAGCATGAACCTCAAGCGAAGCAGACTTGTGAACACGGAGACCATAATGAACCGTGCCCTTAACATACCGCAAAACGCGTTTTAGCAAGCAC